AAGAGCCACACTCAAGGGGCCAAAGAGCGGCATGTGGCTCAAGAGCCGCATGTGGCTTGCGAGCCGCAGTTTGCCGACCACTGCAGGTGTTTCTGGAGTGTGAGAGGTGCCTACAGCTATTCAGTTTTTCATGGAAAAAAAAGGAAAGGGAAATTATCATTCACTGCAGACCTACTGTGGTCATCCATCCACTTTATCATCCTGGTGTCTCGTAAATCAATTAGGGAGTTTAGGATCCAATTACCAGAAAACGCCAACTCAACTGGCTTAAACAATAAGGGACCTTATATATTTCTTCTAACAAGACATACAGCTAGGGTGGCTTTAGAGATGGTGGCTTAACTGTATCAAGAAAAACCCCTTCTTTCTATCTTTCTTCTCCGCCAACTTTAACTTAATGAGTTTTCCTTTGGCCTGACTCACCTCATGGCAACAAATTGGCTGCAGCAAATCCAGGCTTACCATCCTGATGCAATACTGGCTAGGAGAAAGATACTTTCCCTCCCTTGGGCCTCTCTGTAAAGTGGAGGGAAAAATTCTAGAAGCTTCTAGAAACTTCCTCTCAAAGCTTATTTACCAGAATTTTGTGGTCACAAGATAATGCTTGAGCTATCACTGCTGAGGGAATTAAGATGATCGTGATCAGTGTAAACCAACCAGGATCTCACCTAGAGGCCTAGGAGGGAGGGGTAGATGCTGAAACAACACCAGTGTTCTTTCAGCAGGGGAAAAATAAATAAATAAATATTGAGGAGGAAACCAGCAGTGTCCGCTACACCGCTTTTCATAGTGAATTAGTTTATGCCGAATTTCAGGGAGGTTCAGTCACTTACATACGGTCCCGCAGCTGATAAAAATAGAAGTCGGATTCAAATCCAGCTCTTTAAAACTCCAAAGCCCACCTATGTACTTTTTTCTGCTGCGCAGCTGGACCCCGAGTCAAACTTCACTTCCCAGAAAAGCCAAAGCCCCCTTCCTCCTGGCGAGTGCCTCAGGAGTGGAGGCAATCGCCCTGCTCTCCCCAGCCGACCTTCCGCTGGGCATTTAATCTGTTTATTAAGTTATGACTAATGGTGCTGCGAGACACCGAGGGCTGCACATTCAGACCTAGTTTTAGATTGTTAGAGGAGGTTCAGGGGATAAACATCATATTCATATTCTGTGCCGAGAAAATTCAATTGCAGCTCTTTCTCTTTCAGAGCGCGGGATTGGCGAGGGGCGTCTGCTGGGTCCTGCTTGGGTTTAATAGAAATGAAACCTCCAAGGCAGGCGGGCTGTTTTGGGAAAGTGGCCGCTAATGCGGCCCCTTGGGGCGGGGGGCCAGGCCTGAACCGGGCAGTTTGCATATTCACTTTTACAAACAGTTGGCTCTGAGTCAGCAGTTAATGGGATGGGAATGATGTTCCTGTACCGAATCATTTCCTGAAAAAAACATTTCCAGTTGCAAACATATCTCAGCCTTTCTTCTTGCATTTGTTTTGTCTCTGGGAGTGAATTAAAGAGGCAGGGCAGAGGGGAGTGTTTCTGATGGGGGCTTTTTATCTGAAATCATTTTTAACAATGATCTCCAAGTAAAAGAGATCCCATTCAGACCGACCTTTAGGCGTCCTGGCTGCTAATATTGCATTTCTGGGCACACTTTAGAGGTATAGATGTCTCCATTGTCACCAAGTGGCTCTGGCTGTACAACAGTTTTGGGACACATGCGGCTTTTCTCTCCTTCCAAAACCTAAGCTGGAAATGCTGGCCCAGGCATGTGCACACTGCACACACACGCACACATACACACATGCACACACAGGGTCAGGCCAAAAATTTTGTAGGTTTTTCCTACAAAATTGAGGGCAAGCTGGAATCCTTTTTGTATCCTATATACTGCTTTGGCAAATTATGCTTCAACCCATAACCTGGGCAACTGAAGGGTGGTCTTAACAGTTTTGATTATTCATTTATTCAACAAGTAGTTCTTGAATGCTCACTGCACATGAGGTATTGTTTTAAGTAATAAGAATAACATATATTTACATAGATCTCACCAGATACCCAGAGAGTCTAGTAAATATGTTACATATATTAACTCATTTAGTCTTCTCAACAACCCTAGGGGGTAGGCAATCTTCTCATTCCTGTTTTTCCAATAAGGAAACTCAGTATAAGAGGTTGATGAACTTGCCCAAGGTCACATACAGTAGCTAGTGAGTGATCTTGGATATTAACCTAGGGAGTCTGGCTCCTCTTTGGGGAATCTAACAGTGGGCAAAAGAGAAAAGGTGCCAGGCTTTAATTCTGATGGGAGAGGTGGCTAACAGACTGTAACTAATAATGATTTCAGGTCATATTGAGAGCTTGAAGCAAATAAAACATGAGTGGGAGGCAGTGGGCTAATCAGAGGGTTTTCTAGGTCTTAGGAGTTGGGGTTTTCTTTTGAGAATGACAGGAAGTCTTAAAGCAGGAGAGTGTCTGACCCTATTTACATCTTTATGTATCATTCTGACTGTAATTGGAAGTAGATGGGGTAGGGCTGAGGGGGGATATGCATTAGAAAGCAGTAGACCTGTGGTGGTTCTGGTTGTCCAGGTGAGAGATAAGGATGGCCTGAACCAGGATGATGGTGGTGGTGCTGGTGAGCAGCAGTTGGAATTGGGTCCTGGTTTGGAGGTGGAGCCCATAAAACAGCAGTTCTCAACCTGTGGGTCGTGACCCCTTTAGCGGTCGAACAACCCTTTCACAGGGGTCGCCTAAGACCATCCTGCGTAGCAGATATTTACATTACGATTCATAACAGTAGCAACATTACAGTTATGAAGTAGCAACGAAAATAATTTTATGGTTGGGTCACAACATGAGGAACTGTATTTAAAGGGCCAGAAGGTTGAGAACCACTGCAAAACTTGCCAGTGTGTTAGACGCAAAAGGTGAGAGGGGAGATGTTGTTACAGATGACTCTTTTTTTGGCTTAAACCATTGTATACATGCTGGGGCTACTTGCTGAGTAGGGGAAGAACAGTGTTGTGGAGGTGGGGGGTGAGGGTATTGAAAATCAGAGTTCTGTTTCAGATGGCTAAATGTGAGGCCTCTGCTAATAGACAAAACAGAAGACATCCAGTAAGCTTATGGCTCAGGGTCAGGCCTAGGCAGGAGATTGAAATGCAGACATCAGCATGTAGATGTATGGGATCATCTAGGACAATGCTGTCCACTCCTGTGATGATGGAAATCTACATCTGTGCTATTCAGTATGGTCATCACCAGTTCCATGTGGGCCATCGAGCACTTTAAATGTGATAGGTACAACTAAGAGATTCAATTAAAAATTATTTTTATTCCATTTCAGAGAGGAAGGGAGAGGGAGAGAGAAATAAGAAATATCAATGATGAGAGAGAATCCTTGATTAGCTGCCTCCTACGTGCCCCACATTGAGGATTGAGCCCACAACCTGGTCATGTGCCCTCACCAGGACCTCCTGGTTCATAGGCCAATGCTCAACCACGAGCCACGCCAACCTGGCAAAGAAACTAAATTTTTTTAATTCATCTGCATTAAAAGAGCCGCATGAGGCCAACCCCTCCCATGTTGGACAGCACAGACCTGGGGGAGAATGTAGGTAGAGAGGTCCTGGCCAGTAACAACCCGTTTCTTCCCTGTCCAGTAGGCGCAGCCTCTCACCCGCATAATGCGTGACTTTATTTTCACTTCCCATTCTTGCGCAGCAGTGCTTATTAAGTGATGGAAATATTGCTGCTTTGTGAGAAACAGCCTAGAAAAGAAGCAAACTGCCGTCCTGGGGGGAATAGAAGATATTATAGAAGTCTAAGGAAACAGTTCTCTAGAAAGCAAAAACAACCCTTTACCTATAGAATCATTTCAGTCTTAAAATATAAGGTACCGCTTATATTTTTCATCATGTTTTATGGTGGAGACTTTTATAGGGTAATGGGTGTCTGTGAATTTGGAGATTCAAGACGGTGACTGGCTGATATCCCACATAAATGTCAAGGGCCCACGGCCACGGGATGAAATGCCAGCTTTATAATGCAAGTTGGGTCTCTTTGGGGTAGAGTGCCTTTGTTAGGCAATCTCGTTCTCCATCCAACTGCAACCATCAGTGAGTTTGCTAATATGAAAGAACTCTTTGTAAGTGGCTGCCTTGTGCTCAAGAGTTCTTGCAAGTGTATACTGGCAATCTGTGAGGCCAGAGTCGATAAAAAATAAAATAAAATGGAAAGATGGGACATGGCTTCTATTAAGGCTGATTGCCGCTGCCATGTTAGTTCTTGAAGAACCTTCTGCTGACCGACACTTTGAGAGAGAATGTGTTTTTGTGTGTGTGGTTGATTGGTAAAAAGTAATTATCCGAACTGGAATTGAATAGAGAGGTGAGAGGATTTAAGTCACTGAGTTTAGGAGAGATGGCCCCTAGGGCCCTCAGCTCCTTCGAGCTTGAAGGGGTAAGACCAGAGCCTAGGAAAGAGGCTGGACTGAGACTTTCTCACAGCAACTGGAAGGGGTGAAGTAGGACAATCAGAAAAATACTTGGGAGAAATGCCAAATCAGGAGAGAAGGCTGAGCCGAGCATGGAGATGGCGGACAGCATAAAGGCAGCCTTCATGTGGTGAGCGCCTTCATCCAGTCACCAGGTATCAGGCTCCCACAGCAAGCCCTTTGAAGGAGGGGCGGCAGGACACCAAAGGCAGAGACTTAAGAAAGACTTCCCTGCCCACCTCGCTTTCACTTATTCTGAGATTGTTTCTGAGAGGAGGCAGAGACCTCCCAACTTCCTCCGAGGAAAGGGAATGGGGTGACAGCTGGACAAGGTGAGCTACAAGGGACAGTTCAGTCCTTTTAGCAAGGAGAGCTGGGGGATTGACTGCAGGCTGAGCCACCGCTGTGACCAAACCTTCGTGGTTTTGTTTCTCAATGTCAATATCCAACACGTCTGTCAGATCCACCCCCCTGTCATCGGCGGCTGTAACATGGCTGTGCTTTCTTCTCCCTACAGTGTCCGAGCTTCAGGAGGAGGGCATGAACGCCATCAACCTGCCCCTCAGCCCCATCCCCTTCGAGCTGGACCCGGAGGACACCATGCTGGGTAACTGGGTCTCTTGTTCTCTGGGGTAGCCTGATGCCTCCCAGTGGAGCCACCCGCACTGACCCCCTTTTCTTTTTAAAGAGGAGAACGAAGTGCGAACAATGGTGGATCCAAACTCGCGCAGCGACCCCAAACTCCAAGAACTGATGAAGGTAAGAAGACATGAGGGCTCCGGTTGTCTCCCAGACACAACAGGTGTCTATAGACCACACACCCTGCGCAGGCACCACGCGAGCCACTGCTGGGAGAATAAAGTCACGTCAGTGCCTGCCAGCAGGCAGCTCATGGTCCAGTAAGTGGACATCTAAGATTCAACACAAGTGGGACAAATACCCAATGAGTCATGCTGATAATGAGGATCAGAGAAGTTAGTGCAAATAAGCTCACATTTGCCAGGGTCTTAGTCCACACACTCCTTTCACTGCTTTTATGAAGGACCCTCCAAAGCTCCTTGTGAAGGAGGAATTAGTTATCAGCCCCCATTTCACAGATGAGAAAACAGACTCAGAGAAGCCAACTGGTTTATGGTCACAGCTGAGTGGAGGAGATGTAATGCAAACAGAACTATATGGTATTAAATGAAATACTGTGCACAACATTTGGCATGTAGGCACCCCTCAAGATGTTCATTTCATTCCCCCTTCCAATTTCCCACCCTATGTTTTTCTTCTTCAACTTCTCCAGCTTTCAGTTGAAACAAGACCAATAGGCACTGGGTGCCAGAGTGGTTCATTCAAACTGCAAATCTGAATCTATCATTTTCCCACTCAAAAACCTGCCTGCAGTTTCCCAACTGCAGGTTGAAGCCCACACTCCTGGGTGGTATTTGGGGTCTCCATTGCTCTAGCTGCTCCTTCAACCTTAGACTGTCCCCTGCCTGGCCACACATGGACACCAGACCTGCTCCTGGTGGCTCCCCATACACGCCATGCTTGCTTCCAGCTCACCCACTGCCCTGCCTTTGCTTATGCAGTCCCTTTAACCAGACACCTCTACTTCCTCTTTGGATTACGGTCAAAGTGGGTTCATGTCCTCCAGGATGCCTCCTATAAACCCTAGTGTTGTTGCTCAGCCCCTCTGAGTGCTGCTATGGTCTCTACATTTGGTTCTGTCATTGTAGTCACCCTATGACACTTCTCTGTCTCCTTCACTACATACGGAGTTTCTTGGAGTTAGATTAATTGTTCCATCATTGTACTCTCAGGATCCATCACAGAGTGTGACATACAGGAGGTATTAATAAATGCTGGGTGGGTGATGGAGAGAGAGAAGTGAGGAACACACAGAGGCCCATACTTAGGGGGTAAAGCTGGGTTTCAACTCCAAAGCCCATACTTGGCTCAGTACAAAGCCACACCGCCGAACACTGACGATTGCTTGCCGTTAGGGTAAGGAGCACTGGTATCACCAGCACTAGAAGGGCTTACACCTGAGAATTAGCAGGGCCATTGGGGCTCACCCTGCGGCTGCTTGTCCACATATTGGGTCGTGTGGAGAGCTCTGCTGCTTTCAAGACCGGAAGTTCATTTAGATTGTATGTGTCCAGGATAAGAAAGCTGGTCTATAAGAAAATACCTTATGGCTCTTCTCTTATTTTCTCTCTCTAGGTATTAATTGACTGGATTAATGACGTGCTGGTTGGAGAAAGAATCATTGTGAAAGACCTGGCTGAGGATTTATATGACGGACAAGTCCTGCAGAAGCTGTTTGGTAAGAGGAGAGTTGACTGTTGTGGTGGATCTTTAATAGCAGGTGGACGGACCCCCTACTCCTGGTTAGAAGGAGTTGTTCTCAGTTCCCAGTGGTTCACCTGCAATGGAATAGGAATGTGTACAGTGTGGAATAACAGACCAGTGGAGCTTTTAGATGTCTCCTCAAGATCGGTTTTACATGAATGAATGGCCAAGGGAGGCTCAATGACCAGATGGGGCTGCTGCCTCCCCCTTTCCGCCCCCCAGCAGTCAAGGTCCTCCACTGAATAGATGAAAAGATTTCACTATATACTGGAAAACATGCCTCACCCTCTCCACAAGACTGCATTTGTGGCGTCTGTAGATATATTCACATGTGTCTGAGTGTGTGTATGTGTTTATATACCTCTGTCACCTATGAGTGGGTGTGTCCAGCATATGTGTTTGGACCTTTGTGATCTATGGGTCTGCATGTGTGCCTCTGTGACTTATGGGTGTGTGTGTGTGTTCCTGTGCGTGCCCTTCTCTAGGTTGGGTGCAAGTGTGTGGGAATATGTGCCTGTGTGATCAGTTTCAGTGTCTGTCACCTCTGTGAAGGTGTGTATCCCTGTGTAGGTTCATGGCTATTCATGTGAAAATTTAAGGCCGTGGGAGAGGGAAAGGAGATTCAGGGGTGATCTTAGTATTGAAAAGACAAACTGAACTTGAATCTATTTGGACTTCTCCTCACTGTTCTCCATTTTTTTTCTCTTGTCCAAACCTCTGCCCAGAGTTCTAGATTTTCATGCTTAATTGTCCACCAGACACCTGCACACATGGTTCTCTTCCACCTCAGAGATTTGGACAAGAGAAAATAATTATTAAATTAGAGTTGTACATTTTGGGGAAGAATACCACTGAAGTGATGTTTCCTTCTCATTGTATCATATCAGGGAGGACATGATGTTAACATCATATTATTAGTGGTGTTCACTTTGATCATTTGGTTAAAGTGGTGTCTGCTAGATTTCTTCACTAAAACGTTACTATTTTTCTCTTCATAATTAATTTATTTGGGAGGAGATAGGTTAAGTCTTGCACAGATCTTGTTTCTCCTTAAACTTCTTTCACTAATTTCAATTGGTGGAGCAGGCCTGCCTCAGTTAATACTGTGATGGTCTAGTGAGGATTTTCTGTTTTCCTTATTCCTTCTACATTTATTAGTTGGAATTCTTCTGTAAGGAAACACTGTCCTCTATTCCCCAGTGACTTATTTATGTCAGTGTGGACACAAGGATGCTTGTTTTATACTACACATTATAATCCAATGCCATCGTTATTCATTTTCGCTGATATATTTCCAGTTTTGACTGTTGGGGGCTCTTTCAGGTTGGCTCCTGCACACTTTCGACATGCTGCCTCCTTTTTTTTTCTTAGCACTTTCTGGCATCATAAGATATACCGGGCTCATCTTCTGATTTTCTTACTCTGGCCCTGGAATCAAACACTTCTCCAAGAAGCCCTGATTTCTTTTATTAGATATGTATTTAGAAATCAATATCTGAGCATATTAGTGAGAGGTGGATTTTTTTTTTTAAGTACAGCTGACATACAGTATTATTAGTTTCAGGTGTCCAGTATATGTGGTGATCATCCCATCTGAAATCTAGTACCCACCTACACCATAGTGTTATTACAATACTAGAGGCCTGGTGCGTGAAATTTGTGCACAGGAGGGGGGGGGTTATCCTCAACCCGGCCTGCACTCTCTCCAATCCGGGACCCCTTGGGGGATGTCTGACTGCTGGTTTAGGCCTGATCCCGCAGTCCAGGCTTAGGGACCCCACTGGGCCAGCCACAGCTGCAGGCGCCTGGGACCATGGGCAGCTTCGCCCGGGTCTGGCTTTGTCAGGAAGGACGTCTGGTCTAATTAACATATTACCCTTTTATTAGTATAGATTATTGACTCTATTCCCTAGGCTGTACCGTTTATTTCTGTGATTATTTTGTAATTGCCAATTTGTACTTCTTAATCCCTTTCACCTTTTTGACCCAAACCTTCTTCCATAGGGCAACCACCAACTTGTTCTCTGAGTCTGCTTCTATTTTCATTTTGTTTTTAGATTTTCACATATAAGTGAAATCATATGGTCCTTGTCTTTCTCTAAATTATTTCACTTTCCTTAATACCCTCTAGGTCCATCCATGTTGCCACAAATGTAAGATTTCATGCTTTTTTATAACTGAGTGATATTCCATTGGACATACATACATATTTTGGAATAGTTTGAGAAAGATAGGTATTAATTCTTCTTTGGATGTTTGGTAAAATTCACTTGTGAAGCCATCTGATCCAGGTATTTTGTTTTTGGGGGAGTTTTTTTTAAATTACTGATTGGATTTTGTTATTAATTATCAGTCTGTTCAGATTGTTTCTTTCTGATTCAGTCTTGGAAGCTTGTATGTTTCTAGGATTTATCAATTTCTTTCAAATTGTCCAATTTGTTGGCATATTTGTTCATAGTATTATAATTCTTTGTATTTCTGTGGTGTTAGTTGTCACTACTCCTCTTATTTCTGGTCTTATCTATTTGGGCCCTCTCTCCTTTCTTATGAATCTGGCTAAAAATTAATCAATTGTGTTTATCTTTTCAATGAACCAGCTCTTGGTTTGATTGATCTTTTCTGTTGTTTCTTCAGACTATTTTGTTTCTTTCTGCTCTGATCTTTATTTTTTCTTTACTTCCATTCATTTTGGGCTTTGTTATTTTTCTAGTGCCTTTTGGTGTAAAGTTAGTTTGTTAATTCAAGATGTTTATTGTTTCTTTAGGTAGGTCTTCATTGCTATGAATTTCCTTCTTAGAACTGATTTCTCTATGTCCCATAGATTTTGGGTGGTTGTGTGTTTTCATTTTAATTTGTCTCAAGATATCTTTTGATCCCCCCCCCCTTGATTTCATTGTAATTGATTTCTAGTTCCATATTATTGTAATAGGAGAGGATGTTTGCTATGACTTTAAATTTATTGATACATTTTGTGTCCTAACATGTGGCCTGTCCTGGAAAATGTTCCATATGCACTTGAAAAGAATGTATATTCTGCTGCTTTTGGTTGAAATGTTCTAAAAATACCAATTAAGTACATCTGGTCTAATGTGTCATTAAGTCCACTGTTTCTTTTTTTTTTTAAATATATTTTATTGATTTTTTACAGAGAGGAAGGGAGAGAGATAGAGAGTTAGAAACATCGATGAGAGAGAAACATCGATCAGCTGCCTCCTGCACATCTCCCACTGGGGATGTGCCTGCAACCCAGGTACATGCCCTTGACCGGAATCGAACCTGGGACCTTTCAGTCCGCAGGCCGACGCTCTATCCACTGAGCCAAACCGGTTTCGGCCCACTGTTTCTTTTTGATTTTCTATCTGGATTATGTATCCATTGATGTCAATAGGGTGTTAAAGTCCCCACTATTACTGTGGATGTCTCCCTTTATATCTGTCAATATTTGCTTTATACATTTAGGTGCTCCTACATTGGGAGCGTAAATGTTTATAAGAGTTTTATCCTCTTGTTGGATTGATCCCATTCTCATTACGAAATGCCCTTTTTTGTCTATTCTTACAGCCTTTGGTTTAAAGTCCATTTTACTTCATATAAGTATTGCTGCCCCAGCTTTTTTTCATTTATGTTTGCATGAAATGTATTTTTGCATCCCTTTACTTTCAGTCTGTGTCTGCTTTTAATTTAAAGTGGGTCTCTTGTAGGCAGCATATGTACAGGTCTTGCTTCTCTATCCATTCAGCCACCTATGTCTTTTGATTGGAACATTTAGTACATTTACATTTAAAGTGATTATTGATAGGCATGTACTTATTGCCACTTTTGTAGTTCTCTTTTCCTTTCTTATGGTCTTGCTGTCTTGTATGACTTTCTATAGTGTTATGTTTAGATTCCTTTCTCTTTATTTCTTGATTATATAATTTTGGTTGTTAGTTACCATGTGCTTCCCATATACCACACTATGTTTACATCAGTCTATTTTAAGTTGATGGTTGCTTTAGTCCAAACACATTCTAAAATAACTATAATTTTTACTCACGCCCTCCATATTTGTTTTTGTCATTCTTTTTTATTTCTTTTGTTTGTGGGTAGCCCTTACTTTATTGTAATTACAAATGATCTTTCTACTTTTGTTTTTTAATCTTTGTACTAGCATTATCCATTGCTTTTACTGTTTGCCTGTCAAGTGAGAATATTTTTCTCTCTGCTTCTTAAAGAAGTCCCTTTGTGGTGATGAACTCTTAAGTTTTTCTTTTCTGATAAAGTCTTTATCTCTCCTTTGATTTTAAATGATAGCCTAGTTATCTTGGTTTTAGGTGTTTTCCTTTCATCCCTTTGAATATTTCATGCCATTTCCTTTTGGCCTGCAGTTTCTGTTGAGAAATCAGCTGACAGTCTCATGGGAGTTCCCTTGTATGTTACTATTTGCCTCTTGCTGCTTGTAAGATGCAATCTTTATCTTTAACCTTTGGTATTTTAACTATAATGTGTCTCGGTGTAGGCCTCTTTGGGTTCATCTTGTTCAGGGCTCTGTGCCTCCTTGACTAGTAGGTTTATTTTGTTCATTAGGTTGGGGGAATTTTCAGTCATTATTTCTTCAAATCGGTTTTGAATCCCTTGCATTCTCCCTTCTCCTTCTGGTAACCCTATGATGTTATCCCAAAGGTCCTTAAACTGTCCTCATTTAAAAAAAATTTTTTTGCTGTTGGTTGTTTCCCACTATCTTTTCTTACAAAGTTCTGATTTGATCCTCTGCTTCATCGGATCTGCTGTTAATTCTACCTAATGCATCCTTCATTTCTAAGTGCTACTTTTTATATTTTCTATCTCTGTTTTGAAGTTCTTACTAAGTTCATCATCTATTTTTTCCCTAAATACATTGAACATTTTTTTATAACTAGTGTTTTGAACTCTGGTAGATTACTTGTCTTCATTGTATTTACTTCTTTTCATGTATTAAGTAGATAGCTACCTTTC